ATCAAGCTTTGATAACATACGGAGGCTTGTGAATATCATATTCTCGGCAGAACAAGTAGACTCCCCAGTGATTGCACTTTATCTATGTAGATGCAGAAAAAGCTGAGTAGAATGGCTTTACTTGTTGGCAGTCTTGCAAAAAATGAATTTAGGTCCAAAATTTCTTGACATGATCCATATGTCATATAAAAGTCCATCTGCAGCTGTCCAAACTAATTCCGATGTCATCACAATTTACTTTATCAAGAAGAACCAGGCAGGGGTGTCCTTTTTCTCCACTACTTTTTGTATTGGCAGTAGAGACCCTGGCCAAATACGGACAAATTGCAAATTGGAAGAGGTGTTAGTGACGCCAGCAGGGGGGCGCTCACCCTGTGGTCTGTGTGGGTCCTAACGCCCCAGTATAGTGACGGGGACACTATACTGTCAAAGAGCACCGTCCTTCGGATGAGACGTTAAACCGAGGCCCTGACTCTCTGTGGTCATTAAAAATCCCAGGATGTCTTTCGAAAGAGTAGGGGTGTAACCCCGGCATCCTGGCCAAATTTGCCCAGTGGCCTCTGTCCATCATGGCCTCCTAATAATCCCCATATATATATATATACACTGATTGGCTTCATCACTCTGTCTCCTCTCCACCAGTAAGCTGGTGTGTGGTGGGCGTTCTGGCGCACTATGGCTGCCGTCGCATCATCCAAGTGGATGCTGCACATTGGTGGTGGTTGAGGAGATTCCCCCTTCCATGTGAAGCGCTTTGAGTGCCTAGAAAAGCGCTATATAAATGTAATGAATTATTTTTATTATTATAAATTAGTGAATCTTGGGTCTAGAAATAGGAGCTGAACATATTATGTAAGGGATAATGTACATCCAGCCGGTTGTTATCTCAGAATAAACGCCGACAGGGTGATCAGGACCCCGACGCAAAACATCTAAATCATTAGACACAAAATATTTTATTAGGTCTTTAAACGCAAAGCTTCTGCGGAGAGAGCAGTTGCTAGCGCGGCAGGTTCAAACTAGACGGACATTTAAGAGATACGGTATACAGTCATACCACTTATTACGCAGCATTTCGCCACATAAATAATTATGGGGATATTGATTTGAGATGAAAGTGTTTCATATCTGTTTGTTATCTTATCCATTACAGTGTACAAAACAATAGACACAAAATGGCAGCAGCAGCGTTTGTATAAAATGAGAGCGCAAATTCACGATACTGGATGAAATGTTTAAGTAACTGTATGCACAAAATATTGATTTGACTGAGTTTTAAGAGTTTATTAGCTCACCAAACACAAAACTTCCACGAAGAAAAAACATTCCTAGCAAGTGTATAGTAAAGCTGATTTCAGTAACCCGGATGAGCCTGTGTTATCTATTTTAGCGGTTGTTATCGGGGAATAACGTACCACTGGATGGTGCGATTGACCAATCAGAATCAAGTATTCCAAAGAGCTGTATAATAAATCATTATATTGCTGTTGACATAATGTTATCTTACTAACCCGGAATTATCTTTGCCTACTTTGTCCCAATTATTGGAAAAGTTTAGATCAATAACTGGCTATAAAATTATTATAAATAAAAGTGTTATGATACCAATTAATTTAGTTGCTGAAAAAATGCCCTTAAGAAATTTCCCCTTTACATGGAATTCAGAAAAGTTGTGTATTTAGGACTAAATATTTATACAAAATTGGAGGAGACATAATCTTTAAATTATACCCCATTACTTAAAAAGCTAATAAGAGACCTAGAAAGGTGGACATCATTGCCTCTGTAATTACACTGGCTATGTAAATTGAGGAAAAAACAAGTGCTCTTCCTATACCATGAAAGTGTTTTAACCTCTATAGCTTGATAAGAAAATTCATTTGGAAAAACAAAACACCAAGGGTTAAATTTAAGTTTAAAACGAAGGAGGATTACAACTGCCAGATTTCTTACTCTATTTTTGGCCAGCGCAAATGAGAGCTGTATGGTTATGGATACATGGATACAAAGAAATTCCCCTAGATTATTCATTCTCCAGACCTGTGTTGTGAAGGTCAACAATCCATTTGTCAGTAGGTTGGGGTCATAGATCAATAAAAAATGTAAATGGATATTGCCAATATATATAATAACACTCCATTTCACCATAACCCGGCTCTTTCAGAGGCACTTAGAGATGGAATAACACAACATTGGTATAAAAAGCATTCAAATATTTGGTGATTTGTATGAGGAAGATATACTCATGACATTTGAACAATTGAGTGCAAAGTTTTTTTCTCTCCTTTTTAAGTATTTCCAGGTGTACCATTACATTGCTACACAAGGTGGTCATTTATTGCCTCTTACTTCTCTGCCAATAGATAACATTATAAGAGAAAAAAAAGGGCCCCAAAGGTTATGTATCTTATATGTATGCCAATTTCATTGTTCTTTATGGTGAGGATACAACATCCTCTAAATCCAAACTGGAAAAAGATTTGGAATGTATTTTTGAACAAGATACTTGGGAAATTGTTTGTGAAAATGCCCTAAGATTCTCATGTAACAGCGGACATAGATTAATTCAGTTTCAGTGTATATTATATACACAGCGGAAAGATTACATAACATAAGTGATTCTTATTCAGAATGTTGCACTATGATTTAAAGTAGAAACTGATACATTATTACATATGTTTTGGGCATGTAAAAAACTTAAAACCTCTTGTGAAAATATACATACTATTAACAAAACTTCCATTTGATCCAAGATGTATTTTATTAGGGGACGTATAAGTCTAGCAACTTGAACAGAGGGTACATTTACGTTTTATGAAGATGGCCTTGATAGGAGCAAAGAAATTTATAGCTTCATTATGTTCCAGTTGAAAAAATTATATTTAATCTAATAAAAAAACTTTATTTGAGAGGTCAAATTTATCAATTATATGAAAAATTATATTGGAAGACAATGCTGATGTGGTAATGTAAAACTGTGATTTCCTAAAATTAAGGAAGTGTATAAGTAGGCTATTATATGTATGTTAGACAATCCCCTTTTTCCATTTGTTAACCTTTTTTAAAAAGATTTATTATTTCGATGGATTTATTTATATTTATTTATGTTTTATTTTATTGTATTCTCTACTCGCTCTGAAATTGGTTGAAGTGTGCTGTCAGATGGTGGTTTAGAAAAGATTGTTAACTTTAATACTGAATTACCTCTGTAAACTTTACATGAAAGACCAATAAACATATTGGGAAAAAAAACATGCATGTAAACTCATACATGTATATATTATACATAGTTATAATTTAACATATTGACCAATTGTGCTGTAAAAGAGTTACAAAGTGTGCATGTGTGTAAGTGGATATACATGTGCGTGATCTACATGTTGTGTGTTATTGATCTACATGTATATGTGTTTTTTTTTCATTTCTTGTGCTAGTTATGTAACCGTGTCTATATACCTAGTTTGTTTGTTTTATCGATGTAAACCAATAACTGTAAAGCATCTTTGAGTGTCTAGAAAAGCACTATAAAAATTAAATGTATTATATGTGTGTTATTGATCTACATGACCCTAGGCAGAGTTGTCTATATTGTGTTGTCTCGTAGGCCTACAGAACAGAAAAAATAAAACAAGAAGATAAGAAGAAAAATCTAAATGAAACTCTTTCTACAAAATAGAACTCTAGAGTAATTGGATTATATGATCAAATTAATTGAATGAATTAATCACAGAACAATGCATTTATTCTTTGGAAGCCGGGCTAAATGAGTATATGAGATACCAGTTGAGACAGAGAACCAGATGGATGAAGCTTCAAAGTTGCGTTAAGTTGAATCGGTATGTTTGTTTGGCCGGAAGCTAGTTATTTTACTTTAAAAAGTTTTAAGTAAGGATATTTTTCTTAAACAAACTTATCGTTTCGCTTCAGAAGGCTTTTATTAACCCCGCCAGAGCCGTGTGGAGGACTTTTATGATGGATAGATGCACTTTTATGGACTTCAAAACAGAACGGCCATTCATAGCTTGGAATAGCCAGGACATTTTTTTAACATAACTCCGATTGTATTCGTCTGAAAGAAGAATGTCATATACACCTAGGATGACTTGAGGGTGAGTAAATCATGGGCTAATTTTAATTTTTGGGTGAACTATCCCTTTAAGGCTAACCCTATTTACATAACACTTTTTTTGTGTGATAAAAACCCAGCATAGCCTTTACAGACTAAGTAAACTTAACTAATGCCAAGTTGTTAGGCGGAGCTCGTCTAAATCGAGCCCCAATGGAATCGAACCTAAACTGGATTGTAGTCTGTTACTAACCTGATCGCAGATTTGCGGTAACATGGATTTAACATGATCTAGACTCAATAGTTTTAGAGTAGGTCAGAATAAATTTTTATGTAACAATTTATTATTAGTCAGGTAAATGTATGCCATGCCCTGGGCGATGGCACACCCTTCAGTAAGCAAAATATCTCTAACTATAACTGATTTTATTCTTCATTATTTTTCTGCCTAGTCTTTGATGCTTAGACACTAAAACTAAATGGTCTAGCAACACAAGTATTATAAAAATCTCCATGATTTTTTAGTGACATTTTAAGGTGGTATCCTAATTTTTTTTTTTTTTTGCATCATTTAAAAATGTATATTCTGGGGTTTCTACTGTCATGTGAACACACAATACGTTTAGTAAGGGGTGGTGAGGCTATCAGGTGAGAATAAGCTGTTTTCCTATCGTTTAGTGAGTTTGAAAATAATACAATGAGTGCAGATTGGACATCACTTTGGCTTGTTTCAGTGACTAGAACATACGTTGCTCGTGTCAGACAGCCTGGATTCTGCTGGGTCATGATAGGCTACTCGCTAACTGCTCTATTCTTTCTCCATTAGGTTGAAGACTTAAACTAATGATGACAAGACAAAAGGATGACTAAACGGATTTATGCGTTTCAGCGCATAACAAATGCAGGATGTCTGTGTCCCTCGATGAAGAAACGGCGCCGTGATTACGTACTAGTTGGTGAATACGGAGAATGCGTATTATACGCAGGAATCTGTCGTAAAATACGTCCTGGGCTCTGTACTCCGGCGTGAAAGTAGAGAATACGAGTGCTTCAGATGATCGCATAGGATATTTTCTCAACCGCAACCGAGCTTATGTTAGCAGCCGTGAGCGGAACACTCAAAGAGTCCGGGGGAATCCAGTGGATTTCTGGCGGAGGCCATATTATGCTGCTTGAAAATGTACCCGAATAATCGGATGACAGCACTCCAATCCATCGAAGGAAAACTTTCGAGTTCAGTTTAAACGGTGGGCTTGCAATAAAAGGAGGTCGTGTGGCTAACAGGATCCCGAGGGCTGCTGTGAACCGATCGAGCTGTGGCTAGCATGGTGCTAATATCACACATGCAGCCGAACTACATCGATTGACTGAAAGACTGCGTCGCTTCTCGGGTCTGCTAATGTTCATGAGGCGTGTTTGGGTCCTGCGTTCTCAAGATCCCCACTCCCTTATAGGGAGACCTGAATCCGATCTGCTTTACGGGCCATATATTTGCCTAGCTTGACTGTCATTTCATGTATGGATGGACGCGTGCATGCTTTGACAGAATCCTGCGTGCATCGTTGCAGCGGCACAGAGCATCCAAAGGAGGGGCTCTTACTTTAGCAAATATACATTGGATCCGTCGAAGCATTTAATTTGCGGAGACTCGCGGCTGCTCGTCTCCCTAAGAACACTACGTAAGGCTTCAGCGTACCCTACGTCTTTTTGAAGGAATAATTTCGGGTGACATTGCAGTCTCTCCCCTCTCTCGGAGAGATATAACGTAAGCTCTTCTCGTTTATTACGTCTGTGAACGGAAGGGAAGGTGGAGCATTGCCCGTCGTACGTGCTGACGCAGTGGGATTTCTACGTGTGGTCTGCGTTTCGACCCGCCCTTCCCGCGGTGACGGTGATGGGTCGGAAGCGGTGTGTCGGTGCAGATTGTTCGAAGATGGCGGCCGGGTGCTGCGGGGTGAAGAAGCAGAAGTTGTCGGGATCCCCCGGTGCGGGGGGTCCCGGCGGGGCGGGGAGCGGGGTAGCCGGGACCGGACATTGTGGATCGGAATTGGGGATCGGGTCGTCTTCGACTGTCGTGGCCGGGAACGTGAATCGGGTGAACGGCCTGGGGGGTTCAGGGGGTAGTAGTAGTAGTAGCAGCAGCAGCAGCGGCAGCAGCGGCGGCGGCGGCAACACCAATGTTCTATCCCCAACTCCAGGAGGCTACAACTCAACGGGCCTCTCCCCGACTCTCAGTCCCGGACCTGGCTCGGGAGGCAGGAAAATGGTCGTTTCGGCGGAGATGTGTTGCTTTTGCTTCGATGTGCTTTATTGCCATCTATACGGATACCAGCCTCCTCGAACACCCAGGTTTACAAACGACCCCTAGTAAGTAACGTCAGCAAGATGGCTATTTTGACCTGGTTTGCCTCAACAACAGATGGTGTTTCCTTTTCTGTGCAGTAACAAACAAAGTTTTGAGTATTCATGCTCCTCGGCGAAGGTTTGCTCGTGCCCATCTTGGTCGAATGTCTTTTTTTTCGTAATGTTAATGACTTTGTTTGATATCTAAACCAAATGCAGCAAGGAATAGTTTACTCGCTAACCCAAGCCCTCCCGATTAGCTGTTGTCATGTTCCCAAACTCGAAGTTTCTGAGGTGTTTTAGAAAATTGTTAATGTTTAAACACCCGCTAGTCTAACTTAGTCGTATAGATTAATTTTATTGATGGTAACATGTTAATTACATTTGAAGGTTTAAAAGATTTAGGATGTATGATTTAGAAGACTGGTGAAATTATCGATCACTAACGTTAATGTACCCGATAATTAGGTAACGTTAACGTTAGTAGAGCTGAAGTATTTTTTTCTCTGAAAGAGATTAAATGGGTGTTAGCCTGCTCTTCTTTATTCAAGCTTCTCTGCAAGCTAACATGCTAAGCAACGTTAGCCAGCTCACACGGTTCACATTTCAGCGAATATTTAACTTTTTCTGTTTATTTCCCCTCAGTTCCCTTTCTTTTAATTCGTTAGATTTTTTTAAAGAAACAGCTAGTAATATTTCTTTTTGATTCCAAGCTGCTGTTAGTGGTTAGCCAACGTGAGCTAGTAAGCTAACAAAACCTAGTTGTTTACGTTTCCTTCAGAGATTTACATTTGAAAGCTCTCTTACGGTATTTCTCATTCAAGTTAGTAATACAGCAAAAGAAGTGATACCAGGACACACAATAACATTTCACGTGTTAACTGTTAAATCACAAACAGTTTTATATTTTGGTATTTTGTCACTTGCCAAACACTGAATCTTTATTATTGAAGACCCTTTCAGGTTTTATTTTTTATAAAGACCGTTAAAGGAATGTGTATCTTATCCGGTTAGTCAGGGTTGGTCGAACTAGGTAATGAATGAATGTCTTCACTGCAGTGCCTCCCTCTGCTGTCGCTGATAGATACTGACCAGATTTGGACTGTGCACACACACAAATGCATGTATTTAACTTAAGCTAGATAGTAGTACCTTAAGTTTCTGCATTACAAAAATATGAAACCGTTGTCTTGGTCATAGTCAACTGTTATTTAGCCATCGACAATTATTTGCTGACACCTCAAATTTCGTGAGACGATTAGAATTCGATTTGATTCTAGAGTATATTGTGTTACAAATGTAACCAACATATGTAACATGAACATTTAACTGTACTCTCTAAACAGTGCACATCCTGTATCTCAATTGGGACATCCACAACAAAAATACACTTTAGATATAAAAAATAAATAAAAAATCTGATGACAGCTTGACAACAGTCTACAAAGCCTTTCACGCTTCTGTGCTGTGTAAAAGTGCAATTCCTCATTAGGAAACAGAAGTACTCCACATCATATTTGTAATATGACTTAAACCCGAATATAGACCTTGAACTGAATTTGATGTGCATGTGAAAATAGTCATTGCAGTTTAAAAGGATAGTTTTAAATTTTTTGGTGCACTATCCCTTTAACAAAGACTTACTTGCTGTCTGGACGAACCTTTTTGCAAAACGGAAATACTTTTACAAATAGGGATATAGCCTAAGATTTAAAGGGATAGTTGATATACCAAAAATGATATTTAAACCATGCATTACTCACCCTCAAGCCGTTCGAGATGCATATGTCAATCTTGTTTCAGACGAACACATTTTCAGTTATTTTAGAAAATGTCTTAGACCCTTCAGTGGATATAATGTGAAGCAATGGGGTCCACCTCCTTCAAGTCCCAAAATGTGCATATATCCTTCACAGAAGTCATCCATCCGGCTCCAGGGGGATAAACGAAGGCCTTATGAGGGTAATCCGTGCGGTTTTGTCGTAAAAATATACATATTTAAAACTTTATAAATGAAAATATCTGACTTCCGGCAACGATCGACGCGCGTCCACGGGTGATGGAAGTCGGCGTACGAGGTAGGACGTAGCGTTGTGATGTAGAACGAACGCGCCCGCGCAGCCAGAGAGCAGAGCAAAACATCACCCGTGAACGTGCATCGATCGTTGCCGGAAGTCAGATATTTTCATTTATAAAGTTTTAAATATGTATATTTTTACGACAAAACCGCACGGATTACCCTCATAAGGCCTTCGTTTATCCCCCTGGAGCCGGATGGATGACTTCTGTGAAGGATATATGCACATTTTGGGACTTGAAGGAGGTGGACCCCATTGCTTCACATTATATCCACTGAAGGGTCTAAGACATTTTCTAAGACAAAGGAGAACGTACATGTCGTTCTACACCCGTAAGACCTTCATTCAACTTTGGAATACAAATTAAGATATTTTTGATGAAATCCGAGAGCTTTCTGTCCCCCCATAGACTGCAACATAATTACTTTCAAAGCCCAGAAATGTAGTAAATACATTGTTAAAATAGTCCATGTGACTACAGTGATTCAACCCTAATGTTATGATGTGTTTATGACGTTGGAGTCTAGAGGGGTTCAGAAAGCTCTCAGATTTCATCAAAAAGATCTTAATTTGTGTTCCGAAGATGAACGAAGCTCTTACGGGATTGGAACGACATGAGGGTGAGTAATTAATGACAAATGTAATTTTTGGGTCAACTAACCCTTTAAACTAGTTAAATGACGTCTTAAAGGGGTCCTATAATGCCCTTTTATGAAGTCTTGACTTTGTTTTTTTTGGGTGTACAAGAATATTCTTTTGTGTTTGATTGTTCAAAAAACACATTATTTTTCACATTTTACATTATTATAGCACCCAGTCTCTCTTTGAATGCGCCATTTAGTTCCTGTTTCGATTATTAGCTGGCCCAGTGTGTAGTGTGAAGCATCGCTTTGCGAAAGTTTTGGAAATTTCACACCCCTTAACATAACAGCAAGCTCTACTCGGATGTTAATATTAAGGATGGCGTCAATTTCTAACCAATTTAAGCTTGATTCAGACTTAAGAATAACAAAAAAGAGTATCTTGCACTTGCAGAATGGATTTCATGCACAGACCAGGGCCTGAATTTCGTTTTGAAAAATGGGGGGGAAATCCACCCTTAGATGATTCTCATGGGGGGGATTTTTTTGGTTTGAGGGGGAGAAAGGGAAAAGCATTTTTTCAAACAAAATTATTACATTTATCTTGCCTAAATGTTTGCGCTCATTGCATTTTTACAATGGGGTTGTAAATTTACACAACACAAGGAAGCTTGATTTAAATTGTTTAATTAAATTGAAAAAAGTAGCACAAATAAATACAATAGAATAAAGATACAAATAAAGAGAAGTTTTTGAATAGGTCTAACACACTAGTATTCATATACAGAAACTGAATAAAGTAATCAAATGGAAAATAACACTGGGTAGTATTTTAGTTCTGAATAAATTAAATACATAGGCTATTAATCCTGATTCCTTTAACTTAAAGCTATCTTTTGTTGTTTTGACAACAAAATTAATGACACACACATATGGCTGCCGTCGCTTTAAGAGCTAGTGCACGGATCCTGTGTTCATTATTGGCATGCGTTTTATGCTTATTAAAGACAAAAGCGACTATGTTTAGAGGATACTCACGAAGACCGCAATATAATCCGCGAAAAATAACTTTTGTTACTGGCCAGCTGTTTTTGAGGCGGATTTTCTATGAATGTGCGCATAGAAAATAATCTCTCAGAGAGCGCGCGAGCACTGATTAGTTTAAAATCGCTTGAATGTTTAAACTGGTAAGACTTAAAAAGACGTGCAAATGGTAAACTTCAGTCACAATGCACTGCTGGCCCGATTGTGCAAGTGAATATTCCGTCATGTCCCGACTCCTAAACGCGAGTGTGTATTATCGCCGCAGCGCTTGATGCTTGCCTTGCACAACACATTTTGAGAGAAGAGATAGAAGACGCGGCACCGCTGAACACTCACGCTGTTTGTGAAATTGCGTCTGGCAGATAGTTGTTAAAAGAATGATTTGATTTTATAATCTGTGTGGATTACGATTGCGGGAATTTCCCGCATTATAAATGGGAGACCTGCGGGAATGATTAGAATTATGCGCAATACCGCACCGAAATTCGAGCCCTGACAGATTTTTTTTATTGTAGTGGTTTTTATTGTAATGTTATTATACATTTTAGATAGTATGTTTTACACAATTTAATCATGATATTTGTCGGAAAACTAATGGTAATGCAAACAGTAATCGATCACAAAACCATGGTTAATTTTCCTAAGGGGTGGTGAACAGCCTTAAAAACGAGAGTTTACAAAAGCTAAAGAAACACTATATAGTGTAGATGTATATCAACACTAATGTTGGCTAGCAGGCGAGCTGAGGCAAAGCTTTGTCCTTTGTTTACATCGTATCAACAACATAAAACTTGTAAGTTTTTCTTAATATTTGTAATTCCAATTATAAGTTGTGATCCACAAACAACAAGATTGTTTCGAGAAAGTGGGAACGGCTCCATTTCAGGAGAAGCTTTTGTGTGTAGCCTGCTTTGTACTCATCTTAGGTCCTGGAAGCTGTTCTCTGTAAAATGTGCAGGACACAGATAAACATTGGGCTTATAATGTTCAGGAACAGTGTTTAAAATAAATTGTAATAATCACTAAGTTTGTCAGCCTTAGGAAGGTTAAAGAAATTAGTTTTGGAAACAGGGTGAAAAAAAAAAAAGTGTCTCTTTGACATAGCGACAACACTGTGTTCTCTAACGCAGCTCATCCGGGCCTCGCCCTCTTTTTTTGCGTATTATGTTTGCGGCGATTATTTAAAGGTGTAACGTTGTGACTTCACAAAACCTAGGGGTGTAAATGAGAACCTTAATGACGATTCGATACGATACCGATTTCTTAAGCCAACGATTTGATTATTTTTGATACTTTAGAATTTCCCGTGATACGATTCAAT